GCTTGCTTACTGTACCCATTCCATAGTTTATCCCATATTCTGCATAAAAAATATGTGAAATGTTTTAAGCATTTTTGGTATAAGTAAAAATTTACCTCTCATTGCAACTACGTACCACTTTGCTATATATGTTATACTAGTTAATACCCGTGACATTGTCCGCGTGGTGAGTGAACTCGACCGACTCGATTATTAAATTAAAGAAATAGGTTGTAACTTACTGACTTTTATTAATAATACAATTTTAATATATATTGTTACAAAACTTATTTCAATAACATGTGAACCTTGAACGTATGTTGAGGCATCACCTCACCTGTTGAGGAATCCAGGAGGAAAAGAGAAATGAGTATAAATAATCGAAAATTTATTTTTTATATGGGGTACATTATACTAATAATAAATTTATTTCATTAAACAAATTGTTTCACGTTATTGAAGATCTCAATATCTTATAATGTTTCTTTATACACGACGTTTGACGTTTTTGTTTCGGAACATGGGCGAATAGTTTAATAGATAAATTTATATACAAATAGTTTAATAAACAAATTTTCTTTAAAAGAGGAAAAAAACATTCTTAAGATCATAGAACCTCTACCATTTTCTTTAAATAAGAAAAAAATGATAAACAATTTATAAGATCTCAAGAGAGATCTCAAGACATTATTGATTATTAGTTAATTGTAAACTTTCGTGTTTAATTTACATTATTTAAATTATTAACCAGTCAGCTCGTGACCACGGCTAGTGCAACCTAGTCGAAACGTCGAGAGAGGTAAATACCTTTATTTGCCATAAAGTTATTCAAATTAGTTCGTGTTAAGACCCGGTTAATAATTTAAATAATGTATTATTGATTATTGGTCCATAATTAACCTACTTTGAAATATATCTATCTATCTACCTACTGTAAAATTATGGAATGCAAAGGTTTAATCAATAAATTTATTTAGTTTGGTTGGGTGACTTACAAGGGAGAAAGTTATATAGAGATGTCAATGCGGGAAACAGCTGACACTAATATCGACGCCCGAAATACGCATCTGCGTTTACGGCGCATCTACCCTTGGGTTGTGTTAATTGAAATGACAATAACACAAACTCCCCGAGAACTGTACACGTTTGAAACGGAAGGTGTAAGTATTCGGAACAATGAAATTCTTGGTATCAAAACTCTTTCAACATCACATACCGGGCAAAATGTACGCTTCTATTATATTACGTTGAAGAGAAGTTTCAGTCTAGGTCTGTTGCATAATTTTGGAGGGCTTCAATTTCGGAGAATGTCGTGAATATATATTTAAAAAATTGGGGAGTCAACCCCCCTTGGGTTGACCCCCCAAAACAAAAAGCGGAGAGGCCCACTAAAGCGGGCCGATGCCGTCGGACTCCGGAAATAGGCGCTTCGTCGAGATACCTTGGAGTTTTTAGTGAATAGTAGTGAAAGTGGCACCGATGTCAGAGAAGTTAAAGAGTAATCGTCTATCGTGGTATGGGCATGTAATGCGTAGGAATGAAGATCATATCCTAAGGACGGTGTTACATATGAATGTGGATGGTTATAAGGGTAGAGGAAGACCGAAAAAGAGATGGATGGACTGTGTGAAAGATGATATGGTGAGAAAAGGAGTAAATAACGGAATGACTGCGAACAGAGATGAATGGAAGAGAAAAACATATTACGCCGACCCCAAATAAATGGGATAAGGAAGAAGCAGATGATGATGATGAGTAGTCGCATAACACCAACTTGCCTACCCCAGGCGGGGGATACTCTCCATAAAAAAGATGGCGCTGTGTGAATTGTCCAAGATTATTATTTATATTTATAAAGTCAACATTCAGGGTAGAGGAGGAGAGAGGTATAAGGGATTTTCTCCAATAAAAAAAAACAGATGGGGCTGTCTGATGTCCAAGGTAATTATTTATATATATTTACTCAAAATGGTACATTTATGGAGCCGAGGCTTGTGATTAGTATTTTTATAATTATATTAAAACAGAGAACGCTTGTTAGCAAGATACAAACGAGCATGTTTACCAAAATCTTACCAAGCCGTACAGAGTAATCTTATTAAATTTCATTGTTCAACAACAAATGTTAAACTTCTATATTTATTAGAGATCACGGAAGCTTATATCGTAATCGGAGCTTATTTGTAATATAATACCTACTTAATGTATTAATACTTCACCCATTTTATATAGGGTTGTCACATGCTTGATAAAATCATCACAGATACCGAAAGTACATCCTTACTTATTTTTCGCGCTATATTGACAAGTTGAAAAAAATAAACTACATGCTGTACCTACCTGACCTCTTCCCTACGTGTATTTTTTTGAAGTTGATAATGGAATGGTACACCTGCCTGCGCTAGTGGTATACGCTGGCGAAGCACCAGGTGAGAATGATAAGATGAGCATGAGGTCAGATGAGCTAGCCCATAGTAACAAAATCACCAGGAATTTATCATGATAATTTACAGGGGGAAATACGTGGAGGTCAACCTGATGATATATTAAAAAATATATCTTATTTATATTAAATTATATTAAAATATTTATATAAAAATTTATCTATAGTGTATTTATATGTTTTGTAATAGTCGACAACCCTAGTTTTAGGGGATCTACTCTGCGGCCGCACCTTTAGGTTTTGTGGCAACTATTTTAAATTTAATTAAACTTTGTTTAATTAAATTCCTATTTCCATTAAATCGGTAAAATAGATGTTTATTAATTATTGTATTCATGCAATCCTCATATTTGGAGAATTATTTCTATTAAAATACTTTAAATAACAAACGGAAAATTTGTCAACCAACCGTCAATCATTTAAGAATGTATCAGAGATTGATTATATGCTACCCATTGTTAGTTGTTCTCCACATGTAGCTGCCATATGTTATATTGTTTTGTCTATACATGCATACTCTTGAATGAGATACGAGTTTCCTTGCCTACTTAATATGTACCACCATCGAGGTTATATTTTCACTTATTTTTATTTATTTATTTGTTTATCTAATTTATTTATATAATTATCAGGATTGCTATTAAACAATATCTTGTTCAAATCATTATTTTATTATTCCATAGACTAAACAAAAGGGTCTGTCTATAAATAGAGCAATTATATCTTAATCTTAAAATATAACTTTTAATTAGTTTCTAGGGACTGATCTACTCTGAACTATGATTTATTTTGTTAAGTTGTTAGTTGTAAAAAAAAGTAAAGTTAAGTTTGTAAGTTGTTTATATACTTATGTCAACTTTGCTATTTGGTAGTTTGTATTCACACAAAATTCTAAACAACACTTATTTAGAAGAGCAACATACAAGTTTCTCGCTCATTCTTCTTGTGATGAGTCTGCGTTCCCAATGAGTGGCAGAAACAAAATATATACTATTCCAAAGTGTTTAAGTTTATTTGAATAAAGATTATTTCTATTTCTAAATTATATCTTTACATAGTATATATAAAACAAAGTCGCTGTCGCTGTCTGTCTGTCCCTATGTATGCTTAAATCTTTACAATTACGCAACGGATTTTGAAGCGGTATTTTTAATAGGTAGAATGATTCCAGAGAAAGGTTTATATGTATAATACATGTACACCCGCGCGAAGCCGGGACGAGTAGCTATATGGTAATAAAACAACGTTATTTATATCTCAAAAACTTATGTATTCTATACCCATTTAATCACATTAACAATACGCAATAACAATCCATATAAAACATCTCTGAAGATAAATAGAGACTAGAAAACCTGGTCACACAACACTCGCACATAGCAGTAGTAATCTCAAATACTTTTATTATATTAATGTGTGTAGAATAAAAACAAGCAATAATTAGATAATATATTAATATAACTTCACGATTCACTTCTCTAGATAGGGTAGACAGAGGCAGGACTATCGACGTAGTGATTAACGCACTTGGTATGCCCATATCGAAATATCTCCTTTGGAAAGTTTACACTCTTTCCCTAAGAATATCCTTCAATTCTTGTCTCTGACGGGTCTAGGTAGCGGACTCTGAAAAAGGGCGAACACAATAGATCTATGTACGTCGCAGTGCTATATGCACCTGACAATAGTCCAAATAACCCACTAAAAAAAATGTCCACATCGCGCAGAGCAAATATTCCAATATGGTAAAAGACAAAAAAAACAAGATACGGAAGTACGTATCTTGTTTTTTTTTTTCAGACTACACTAAAACTGTTGGCCGCAGCTGGCCTTTACAGCTTCACCGGACGATAGGGGGCGAGTGTAGACGGCACTCCAAACCAATGGAAGGACTTATGGAGCGGCTGAAGGCCAACTCCCGCCTGGCGGATACAACTTTAACCTGAGGACACCACTAGGGTTCGAACCTCGGCTCCCGAGCCGAAGTTCGCCGACGTAATTTCGATCCCCGTTTGAATCGGACGGAGGATCGATCGGAAGTGACTGTATTTTGTTGATTGTTATTATTTACATCAGCCTATTCATAATTATTAATATATTATATATATAAATATTATACACAAACTTATAAAGCTCATTAAAATAAACAATATAATAACAGTCATTTCGAATATATCAAATTTGTGATATGTCAAATCTACCGTCAGTTTGAAGTGGTGGTCAAGACCTGACAAGAAACTCAGCAATTATTCTTTCTAAGCTTCTACATGAGTACAAAATTACAGACGCATGTTTAAATGAAATTATTGTTTATTAAGTATTATATATTATTCATAATGAATTAGTTGAATGAATAGAAAAATGTAATTTTTCTAAATTAGAGCTAGAATTGCCTCCTTTTATATAAGTCAATTAAATTAACCACGCCGTCTTAATCATTATCTAAATACTTTTAAAATTATATATAATACTTCTGTGTTAATTTAAAACTTTAAAGGAAGAATTAATAAATATAAATTTAAAAAATTTAAAAGCTTGTAAATGCCTGTCTTGTATAAAAGTTACATTTTGAATACTGCAATTTTTCTGTTTAACCGACGATATATTTAGACATAACGTTGCCAAAGAAATAAATAGTAATAAATAAATTAATACACACACTACGCCATCTAGTTCGAAACTAAGCAGAGATCGTAGTATGGGTACTAGATTACTGATTGAAATATTTTCATGTAACCGTACAGATGATAGAGAAAATCACCACCATTACAAACAAACATACAAAATAAATAAAATTGGTCCCTATTATTATTATAAATACATTAATAAGGTCCTATCTAATCCAAGAAGGGTCATTCATTTCATTCATTCATCTATATTTCATTGAATATGGCCATATCAGTAGGAAAATCTTAATGAGCAGAATATTTAAACATCAAGTGTATTTTATGATACAGTAGCTCATCATATAGATATATAGAGAGAATATACTACTTTAAGATATGTACATATCGTAATGTAGATAGAAACTATTATCATAGTAAGTATTGACTTCACGTTTAAACAAATATGCAGATGATATGATGAAATATGTGATGCAGATATGCATGATAAAATTCCATATAGAGGATGTTAAACATTCATCATTTCTTTCCTAGCAAATCATTTAATAAATCCTGATTACTCATACTGGCATCCCCCATTAAATTAGTCCTAGATTCTCTTGAACTCCTCCTTCCAGATATAGATCTCTTTCTTGGTACAGGCACTTGATCTGATATAATTTTGAAATTATTATTTAATTCCTTTAAAGCCTCTTCAGGAATATCACCTTGGGAGTTAACAAATTCATTTATTTTATCTACAGCCTGCAGTTGCTGTACAAGTTTGTCACTCTCCAATTTGGTATTATTAAACTGTTTCATATGTCTATCTATAACTTTACTACTCTTTTCTATATCTTGAATTATATCTTTACAATATTTTTCCATAGGCTTCCCTGACAATTTTCTTTCTAGAGAACTATTCTCACGTTTTAGTTTAAAAACATCCATTTCATTATTGTCTTGATTAATAGTAACCGTACCAGCTGTTTCTTCAACTGTAAGATCATCGAAAAAAGAAATATTGGAATTTCTTCTCCCTCTTGACTTGGGACGCTCATCATCATCATTGACCTTTTCAACTTGTTCTTCAATAGACTCCTCTGTAGAACCCCTTCTAATACTTGTTTTCCTCAACGTTGGTTCCTCGTTATTTTTTATTTTATTAAGAAGATCAGCTTTCATAAATTCCATTTTCTTCTGCATATCTTCTGGTGAAGAGTTTTTGTAATGTAAATCTTCATCAAAAATTGCTAAATCTGCCATACCATCTTGCACAGTTTTCGCTAATTCAATCATTTCATCGGATGACCCTTTAGAACTCTTTCTTGTTTGATTCGAAGCAGATCGACTAATTGTTGAATTTGTTCTACTTGTAACATAACGGGAACGAGGTTCCGTAGAGGAGGATGTATCTTCATCGTGAGATAAAGCGCTGTTAATATTCCGCGAATTCTCACAAAGCTTTGCTAATAATGTTTGTTCCTGTAAATATGACATTTAGATATTAACAATACTGCTAGTATTTATACAATCTATGAATAATGTATCCTTATCATTTATCTTTGTCTTGCCACTATTAAAGTCATGATAGAAAGAAAGACATATATGAGCACACTCTCCTGTTATGCGTATTATCTATCACAAAGACCATCTTTTATTTGGTCGTCTAGGACATAGTTAATTGTGTAATCATTATTACTAACAATATAGTACAGTTAAATAACAAAGTTACTACTACTACTCACACTATGCTCAAAAATATCTTAACCAGATAAATAGAATTAAGTATTAAAAGTAGTCTATTTGTTTTGTCTTCTCAATTTCCCTGGGCCATCAGTTACTTTTAGAATAATATTTATGTATATATCCACACACACACATGCCGTCACAATTATTAACCCAGATGGAGTAGTGAATAGCATTATTAACTGTCGATGCATGGTAACCACAACTTTTCACATGCCCATTTCGCCCGAATTTTGGTTTGATATATTATCGATATTACTTCATCGGAGCGTAAGTCAGAAATATAAATTGAATATTTTTAATACTTACGTTATTTCTATCGTCCGCTTTAAAACTCTCTTGATTTGTTTTAGTTTTACTGATTGGACGAGTAATATTCATAGTGGATGACGATTTTGTTGGAGACTTAGCTGAGCGACTCACAGCTGTACTAAGCATCTTCTCTTTCATCTGTAATTTTAAAAGTTATATTTTCAGTATAAGTAACATCGTCAATTTTGTGTATATCTTTTTCCTGGAGAAATAATGTCATTGTTTTAATTAATAAGTAAAATATGAGACACAAAAAATTAATTATATTAGTAAGTCAAATATACTACACTTCTGAAAATTCCCTACAGAATATTATTTAGTTAACTGTATTCCCAACTGAAATGTGAGATATAGTAAAAATATTACATGACAAAGAGTCATAACATAGAATCCTCCCCACTCCTATTAATCCCGCATCCAATTCAAGCGGAGATCTATTACTATGGCCTGAGAAGAGGTTCGAACGACTAGCGAAGCCCTGTCACTAAAGTTGTATCCGTCTAAGAGGAGCCAGAGCCTTCAGCCGTACCATAAGTCCTTCAGCGGATTTGGTATGTCATCTTACATTCGGCTCTACCGTTCAGTGAACTGTAAAGACTAGAATTTACATTAGAATAGTTAGAAAAATTAATAGTTGCTCTTCTATGAGTATACCACGAGCACCACAAATTATTATGTAGTATCCATTAAAACTTTGTATCTGGTAGGCAAACTGTCTGCTCTTTAGCCTTTCCATTTACTTTAAATAAAATAATTGCTATTATCCCAACCTCTATAATAGTGGATAATTTATCAGCATTACTGATAGCAAGGTCCAGATCATGTCTTGTGTCTTTGTGTTTGTTAATTTCATTTTGAAGCTGATGTTTGAAATTCTTCGCTTCGAGTGCAATCCGACGTTGTAGCATACTAATAGTTTCATTTTGACTTTGAACTTTAAGCGTCAGATCTGCTACTTGGGCTTGAAGTTTTTCACGTTCTAGAAGATTTCTGAAATTATCAAAAACGTTAACAATATCGAGGTAGAATTTGTAAAAAGTTTTCTGCGTGGAGTACTTGCATATTTCTGTCCACCTGTTTAAGCCGCCAAACAGCTTGTTTTGTAAGCTGTGTTTGGGTTTTTGTAGGAGGAGATAAAATAGTGACTTTATACGATAAGAGGAATAACATATTAGTCATCAGAAATGGCAACGCACGAGTGTTATCACGGGCGTCACATGACAACTTTTTATGACTAGTTTATATCCGCCTTCGAGACACCGTCTATCTCCATGTTAATTATCATCAAGATCAGTTCAGCCATAAAGCCGTGTCAAATAGACAAATGGATAGACATACTGTCGCATTTACAATTTTAGTATATATGTAGATTATTAGATTTACAACACAACTCACCTATCTTTACTCAATTCAAGTAAATGCTGGTGTTCATCTTTTAAATGCTGCAGTTGCATGTCCCGTTCTTTCAGCTTCTGGGTTACTTCTTTGAACTGCTGTTTCAGTTGTTTATACTTGCTCTGTTGTACTCTCATCTCTTCATTGTGAGAGTTCAGAACTTGAGGCAGTTCCGCATTTGAGTTCTCATACCTGATTTGACGGTAAAAATATTTTTATCTATTACTTATATATTTTGATTTATATAAATTTTATTATATGTTGCAGTACATTTTTATAGCATAGGGGAGAAACGAGCATGCGGCACACCCGATGGTAAGTGATTACCGCCCCCCATGAATAATACCAGAGGAATTGCAGTGCGCTGCCGTCCTTTTAAGAAGGAATGGGCTCTTTTTTTATAAGTTTCAATATCGTATCGGAAATACCATTTCTGAAAGATGATTCCACAATGCGTGGCAAAAAGATACTAAAAAACCGCACGGTGGTTTTCTAAAAACTTTTTTTTTAGGACCGCCATTCACCCAGATGATCATTTCTCATACTGTTACATTTATCATACTCTCGTTAACTACCGAAATAATAAAGTAATTCAAATACTCAAATAATTCAACTGAGTATTCATTTTGTGGTTTCATACAAGTCATGATATTTACACAAGTAGTTCTATTAATTAAAATTACCTTTACTGAAATAGTTAATCAAATATTAATGAAACCTAATACTCATATATACAAGGCTATTTTAATTAAGAACCATTACTATGTCAAATTAGCGAATGTTCTTAATATTTGAGTAAATACACGTGTTATACATCAATCATATTGCTTTGAATTTATAAGTAAGTAGCTACACACTGAAATTAAATTAATAACCAACTAATAAGCTTCATATTGTATTGGAGAGCAGTTTGCTTTGTAAAAAACGTAGCAGTTGAAGGGTTGAGATAATACAGTGCAAATTCAAGGCATGAAGTTATTACTCCATAATGTCCTCAGGAACAGCTGAATGAAGGTTAGTACTGGCGACATATGACGATGTGATAACTGAATACCGTTACAAGTTCACAACACTAAGTTGTCCTAAAAATTGGTTTAATAAATAAAACAAAATATTGGGACAGGTCGTTGGTATATTCTTTTCAGAACTAAATGGATCAAAGCATAACACAATACAATACGCACAAGTACAATCGCATAAATACAACACAACAAAGATACAAAAACTATAAAAATATCTTAACAGCGACTTTTAAAACGTTCACTAACGTTATCTAGTTTTAAAAGTGGAAACTATTAATTATCATATCTCAGCCCGTACGACGTCCACTGCTGGACATAGGCCTCCCTCAAAGATCTCTACGACGATCGGTCCCGCGCTACTCGCATACATCGCCTTTCAGCGATCGGAGAGTCGGTCCAACTTGTTGGAAGCTTCCCACACTACGTCTTCCGGTTCGTGGTCGCCACTCGAGGACTTTATTGTGCCAACGGCCATCATCATCTGCTTCTTCCTTATCCCATTTATTTGGGGTCGGCGTAATATTTTCGCTTCTATTCATCCCTGTTCGCAGTCATCGCGTTATTTACTTCCTTTCTTACCATATCATCTTTCACACAATCCATCCATCTCTTTTTCGGCCTTCTCTGCCTTTATAACCATCCACATTCATATGTAACACCATCTTGACAATCATCTTGGACCGCCATCTTGTCATTTTTAATTAAATAAAAAATATATTCTGTTCAACAGACTGAAGAAAATATTTTTTATTGCGAATATGGTTACATTCAAAGCTCGATCATAACCACTACTCGAATATGCAAAAAAGATGATTTGTAAAGAAAAAGCCAATAAGGCAAAATGTAAAAGATGATTTCTAAAGGAAAAATACAATAAATATTACCTTTGTAGAGCGATTTCTTGTTTCTTTTGTAATGCCCGTAGTACACGATTCTCGTTGCTAAGCTCCTGAAAAAAATATAGCCATAAGATCTGATATTAATCCAAAAGATTTCCATGAAATAATGTACAAACTACTTAAAAATAACCAAGCAGAGATGTGCTAACTCGCAATAAACATGACTTGAGTTAACTCTAGTTGAAATTCAGGTAACTCGAATTGACACATCTCTAATACCATGGACTTCAATTGTTGAACCACCAACATGCTGCCCACCTTCATGAAGGAGGACTACTGGCCGAAGGGGGTGGTCTATCGGCGCTACCGTGGCAGATTGCCGTTGTCAGTACCGTGACCGTAGAGACAATTTTATTTTTCATATTTTATTATTATTTCTTATGTATGTTAGTCTATAAGGTATTTATAATATGGGCCATGTAGCCTGAATTAAATAAATAAATAAAATTGTTAATTTTAAACTGAACATTCTACTTGTAAGCGACGTGTTCCATAGATTAAGATTTATAGTTTGTTTATTTATAACTATTGTCTATTGTTTGTCTAAGTATAAAGTAGCAGGTAATTCTTGCGATGTACTTAATAATCTTAACTTATAACCGACGCTACCTAGCCAGTTACGCAGCCTTATTCCTAGACTATCAGACGGGAATTGATCTTCAACCGCTCTATAAATTGTTCTGCGGGTTTTGGAATGCCATGTGCACTCGTCCTCTATCGTTGTGTGAAACTGTAAAGGCCAGCTGCGGCCAATAACATGAGAACTACTTTAAATTTAGATAAAATTCGAAACAAAAAGCCACCTAGCCAGCCTGCACCCTACGCTCATTTTTAAATTCTACAATTGCGTGTCATAAATAAATCTAATTATTTAAAAAACTCCGATTTTTAATTTTACTCCGACACGCTCTAGCAACTCCTTCAAGACACACTACTAATTTATACTGATATTATAAATAAGAAAGTATGTATATCTATCAGTTTCTTACATTTTTACCACTAAAGGCAGAGCGGATTCTATCAAAATTTGATAGGTAGTTATAGTGTATTTTTGTTTGCACAAATTAGTGAAGACTTAATCGATATGAATACGGTTTTATATGAAACTAAGTATCGGTCACGGTTTCACACGATACATTACAAATCTTTGATTTTCTAAGCTTGTTATGTACTATAACATGCATGTATTATACATAATAAACCTTCCTCTTGAATCACTATCCATTGGTGAAAACTACATTAAAATCAGTTGCATAGTTTAAAAGATATAAAGCGACTTTATTACTATGTTAAGATACTATTTCTATAGTTCATATAAGTGTATCTAATTTAATATATGATTATTATTATTTATATAATTTTTAATTTATACTATACTTCTATATTATTTTTACTACATATACTTATATTATTTTTCTTTATTATCATAAGTATTTGTTACTTTTATCGTTTAGTTTTCTCCTGTTCGTATATTAACTACCTGTTCAATATTAAAATTCGTTTCCCTAAGGTTGCCTTGAAAAGATTGCTTTCAGTAATAAAGTCGCCTTATTGTAACTATACGTGTGTTCTATAATATATTAGTTATGCCTTTTCTTTGCTGTATGTTACACATAAAGTATATTTATAATGTCTGGTAACTTTGAATATCGTTCCTAACGGTAAACTTAAAAGTTAATCTAAATTAGATCTACTTTTCAATAAATGTCTGTAACAAATACTCGCTGAATGAAGCCTATTGTTTACGAGTGTACTATTAGAAAACAAATGTAGTTTCATCATGCATAGATTTTTTTTATTAATAATAACAATCTCAGACGATTCACACAGCGCTATCTAGACCCAAGTTAAACTAGATAAAGCTTGTGTTACGGGTACTAGATAACTAATACAAATACATACATATTTTTTCGTAAATGCATACATATTATATATAGACAACACATAGACCGATACAAACAATATACTCATGAATACAAATGTTTGTGCCGTGCGGGGAATCGAACTCGCGATCATCGGAAGTAAAGCAATGTGCTAAACCGCTAGATCGTCGAGGCCGTCCGTCGATAGATAGAGTATACTTCATTTGTACCAACGAAAAGAACCGTTTACAGCATGTGAGGAATCGAACGCGCGACCATGGGAAATAAAGCAATATGCTAATCCGCTAAACCATGGAGGACTTACTTGCAAGTGGTAGTGAGCGTCTGCCAATTGATTCTGCAGTTGCTTCACCCTATGCGTCTTCGCTGACAGCACCCTCTGAGTGACATATCTGTCGGCGCGGCCGTTCAGTGACTGGTTAGACATTGCCTCTATGAGCGGGTTCAATCTCTTGCGTTTATTTAGCAGATTTAATCTGGAGTTACTGCTGTACACGCTCTCAAGCGACTCCTTTCTGTAATTTACAAGCAATTGATGTAAATCCTTACTAATGTCATAAATGTGAAAGTCTGTCGCTTTCACGCCAAAACTACTGAACCGATTTAAATGAACTTTGGTACGCAGATAGTCTAGATTCCGAGGAAGGACATACTTTTTAATGCGAAAAAGGGTTGTAAGAGATTGAAAGAGGAGGTTGCATACAAGTATCGTCATTTTTAAAAGTAGAAGCTTGAATCTTATGTTTTTGGATTTTGGGGGTTATAAAATAAGGGTTGGTGGTAGAAAGCTAAAAATTTAAGATTGTATTTTTAATGCCACATTATAAAAATAAAATAAAATAAATGTTTAGGGGTGGACAACCCTTATCACTTAGGGGTATGAAAAATATATAGTAGTCGATTCTCAGACCCTCTAAATATGCATATAAAATTTCATAAAAATCTGTTTCGGAGGAGTATGGTAACTAACATTGTGACACGAGAATTTTATAAGATTGTTACGAGTAGGTATATTACCAACCTTTGCTCTTTCTTCTTGTCTTCAGGTATTAAACTCAGCACTGACATCATCAATGCATGCACTCCATTTTGTTTCCTTTCCCGAAATAGAAAATAACCCAATAAATCGGGTTACGGTTTATTTTGATGAAAAATAACTTACGAGTTGCGAAGCAGATTGTTGTGTAAACTCGTTGCTATGGCAACCGATAATATGTCAATCAATATATTTGAAATGCGATCAAGAAATCAACATCTATACTGGCAGGGTAATATTATAGGTTATAAATCTAATAATGATTGAAGATGATGGATCGGGTATAGAGATGTATTGATGGTAAATATAGTCATACTCATTAGACCTGCAAACGTTTGCGATATAACTTTAAAGTCGCTATTAAAAATAGGGGTTGATAGTTGAAGGGTAAAAATTTAATGTTGTATGTATTTTTAATACAAAATCACAACATAAAAATTATGTAAAAAAAAAAACATTTAGGGTTGGGTCACCTATATCATTGAGCGGTATGAAAAATAAACGCTGGCCGAGTCTCAGACCTATCAAGTCCGAGAATCAAATTTTACTAAAACCGGTAAAGCCGTTTCGAATGAGTCACCGCATTTTATATATTAGATGTATAATTTTCTTCATTTTTGTTTTTGTATCAATTTAGCAACACACACGTTGAAATTAGTGGTAAATTAAAATTTCGGAATGAGTGGTAGAATTAAAAAATATGACTATTCAGAAATGCTTATATTAAATTTATAAATTTTTTAAATTATTTCTATATATTTATAGCGGCTAAGATGGGGCCGCTATTATTTATGATTATGTGTTCATGTAGAAGCAGCATCAGGAAAGGAAGAGGTGCAGAGAAACTAGTCATATAGAATATAGAAGTATAATAGTAGAAATAGTAATATACAAGAAGGCGCGAATCGCCTTCTTGTACATATACTAATTGTAAAGACTTCTATATTACTATTTCTACTATTTCTATATGACTAGTTTCTCTGCATCTCGAATGACAGACCTGTTATTTTATTGCTCTGTCGTAGCTAAGCAACGGTGTTGCCACGCGATAATAGTAAATTCGCCACATATTGTTACTTAACTTACTTAAAAATACTTAATAGCGGTATTTTTTTTATGTGTTCTCTGTAGCAGCAGCAGGAAAGGAGATGAAGTGATAAGTCCAGTGATTGCTATTTACATTATGTATATTAACAAAATATTTACAATTGATATATGTATAAGAAGGTGATTCGGTCTCGAATGACAAGCTTATTATTACATTGCTCTGTCGTAGCTATTTTTTTATTAAGTATTTTACGGCCTTGGAAACTGTCGTAGCAAGGCAACGGTGTTGCCGCGCGCTATCCGTAGAATCGCCACATATATATTACCCGCAATTTACTTTTTTAATCGACATCAAAAACAGTTGAAGATTCTCAGTGTACTTTTTATTTGTTTTTCTACGTGAACCGTTTTAAATTTTGTTTTATTCTAAATTTGGTGTTTCACGTGTGATTCTAAATATATAAATGTTATCGAGATCTCGCCAGTAGGTTTTGATTAATAAATCATATTCAAGAACGTATACCCCTCAGATGGATCCCCCGTCCAATTCAAATAAGGGTCGAACTACACGAAGAACACTAGTATTGTTTTTTTTATAGCACAGCGGACAAAACACCATGCTGCTTACCTGATAGTAAGTGATTACAGCCGCCCATGTGCACCCGCAATACCAGGGGAATTGCAAGTGCGTAGGAAGAAGCTCTGAAGGAAGGTTTTTGTAAGACGTAGCTATGGTAAATAAAAGGCAGTTTATTGTATGATGATGGTATGGTAAAAAAGGCAGTTTTCTGTAAGATGATGGTATAGTAAAACAAAAGTCAGTTTTCTGTAAAATGATGGTATAGTAAAACAAAAGTCAATTTTCTGTAAGATGATGGTATACTAAAACAAAAGTCAGTTTTCTGTAAGATGATGGTATAGTAAAACAAAAGTCAGTTTTCTGTAAGATGATGGTATAGTAAAACAAAAGTCAGTTTTCTGTAAAATGATGGTATGATAAAAAAAGCAATTTTTTCTAAGATGGTATGGTAAAAAAGGCAGTTTTTGTAAGATAATGGTATGGTAAATAAAAGGCAGTGTTTTGTAAACAAAATAATATACTTAGTCAACATTACTGTACATGTAGGAATCTTTATTTACATGTTATTAGAGTCCTGGGACCCTTAGCAGACCTTCAATTTCGCATTACAAAGTCAAACTATACTTACCAATATAATAAACACACAATACAAGTTTGTATGTCTGGATGGATGGATGTTTGTTTTTGAGAGGAGTATAAATTTGACGTGTAATTGTAATGTCTCCATATTTATCATCGTAGCTCCTGAACAAATGGACCGACTATGATGCGGTTTGCTTTGTTAGAAAGCAGATGGTTTTTGACTACAACAAATCTTTATTCGGGAATAAATTAAACATTTTAATTTTTAATTATACTTCGCTCTATACACATGTTTCAATAAATTTATAATTTATATATAGTATATATTATACACATAACTATAAACAATAATCTCTAGAAAGAATATACATATAATTATGATGTCAAATGTTTTGTTTCTTTACAATTCCTTAATAATTTTATATAGGTATGGTGTCAAATAATATGATCTAACCATAGTATATGTAAATATTTGTTAAAATGCTAAAATCTATAAGAACAAACAAAATATAATAATGGTCGTTATCATATTTTGGTTGTTTTTACAAATTGTTATTGAAAATTATTCTTGATAATTGTAAAAAAATCAAAGCATGCTTGTGTTTTGAGCAAAAGTTAATGGAACAAGACTGTTCTATCTAAAAATAGAAGAGTTTTTGTGTTTATTGCAAATAAGCTTTTATCTATCTATTATATGCTCTCTGGAACTTTATAGATTTTTCTTAAAATACTCCGTCTGGGATAGGATAGGACAGTCTTTATATAGAATTTCAGATACAATAGGACAGTCTTAACCATAGGTTTCATACAAATATTCAACAATTCGATACAAAAACCATGTTTTAATGACTTCTGTAACTCAAATTATCATTATTAGATCAAAATATATATAGATAGATATAGATATCAAAATATGCTTATTTGCTTTGTATGGTATATGTATGAAGACAAGGCGGCCGGGTTTAGGTAGAGAACTCTTAAAAAGGTCGAGCACACAGATCTATGTACGTCGCAGTGCTACAAGTCTTAGCATCTGACAATGACAATAGTCCAAACACCTTGATAAGAAAAAATCGCTCAAAGCAATTTTTTGAGGCAACCTTAGAGTAACGGATATAATTTACATACAATAAATATAATAATATAACCTTTGGCACTCTTCTCTGCTCACACCGGTATAAACCTGGCGTGAAGGTAGATATGAAAAATAAAGAATTTCATTCTTTAAAATATAACACTATAATATACTACAATAATAAGACTATATCACTTAAAATTTAGAAAATACGTCGTCTATTGAAGCATTTTATTATGAAGTATGATATCTGACAAATTAGTACTAATTTCCCTCATCACGATTTATCTCAATTTAAACATTTATTGTTTCCATTACAACATTTTGAGGTCTTATCATATATTAACTAATCGCCCCGGCTTCGCACGGGTGTACATGTATTATACATATAAACCTTCCTCTTGAATCTATCTATTAAAAAAAACCGCTTCAAAATGCGTTGCGTAGTTTTAAAGATTTAAGCATACATAGGGACGGACAGACAGCGACAGCGACTTTGTTTTATGCTATGTAGTGATGATACTCAATAATTTAATGATGCTATCAACAATTCTCAATCTTAACGGATCATTTTAGTGTTTGCGATTTTTTTATAGCATAAGAGACAATCTTGAGGCTCACCTGATGGTAAATGATTAACACCAGAGGAATTTCGGCGTTGCCGTACTTTTAAGAAGGAATAAGCTCTTTTCCTAACGTTTGTATAGGACTATCTAGTACTTCAATTACAGTAGAATACAGGCATCTATACATATCTATACATATAAATAAAATTGGAGTGTCTATTTGTTATATTGAAATTACAGTTTTTTACTACATGCATATGAATCTAAATACGGTACATAAACCATAATAACATTTTTTTCAATTTTTGTCTGTCTGCCTGTTTGTTCCGGCTAATCTCTGAAATGGCTGGACCAATTTCGTCGGAACTTTTATTGGTAATAAGGAGTAACTTAGGCTACTTTTATTTTAGAAAAAATTTCTAATTAATTATTTGGTTGAATTCCACGCGGACGAAGTCGCGAGTATAGCTAGTAAATTAATAACCGTTTTATTTATAATTTTCACATTAAACAGTCCGATTTAATTTCATTAATTTTGTGTAATGCAATTTTTATGTACTTTTGTATTCATTGTTCTACTTAATTATTTGGTGTTTTTCGCTCAAAAAACAACATACAAGACCCGGGTAAACATCGCGTATGATCTCACAATTCTCATATGAGGTACAGTCAAAAATCGGTATCAAAATCACTGCGAACTTATTTCAATGTTTGCCGCATCTCGCCGGCGAAACAAGATCCGTAAATATCACTTGGACACCTCACTTTGGTATTGCGTCTTTGTTCTGCTTCTCCCACAATCTGTAGTAGAGTGACGATGGATTAGTGATGAGATCTCTATGGTTGCCTTTCTCAGATATGGACCCGTTCTCGAGGACTAGGATTTCGTCGGCGTCCGCTACGGTGGAAAGTCGATGAGCTATGCAGATGGATGTTCGGCCGATCGTTGCCGCTTTCAACGCTTGAAGGATTGCCTGAAATATAATCAAAATAAAATGTTGCTCACATACTGGCCATATAGTTTTATCTTACTAATATTATAAATGCGCAAGTTTGCGAGTATGGATGTTTGTTGCTCTTTCACGCAAAAACTACTGAACGAATTTTGAATGATGAAACTTACAATAATGTAGCTTATACATCAGAATAACTAAAAATAATTTAAAAAGATACTATGTGAATTGGGCGATACATATATAAAAATAAGTTGATGCAAACGAAGTCAGTTGGTCAGCTAGCAGTTTATGTTTACTTTGTATTTTCTATTAAGAATTATTCTTACTAATATTATAAATGCGAAAGTAACTCTGTCTGTCTCGCTTTCACGCCAAAACTACTGAACCAATTTAAATTAAATTTGCTACACAGTTAGTCTAGACCCTGAGAAAGGATATAGGCTACTTTTGAATGCGATAGAAGGGTTATAATGGGTGTTATGTGGAAGTGACGTTATTTTTGAAGATGAAACGATGAAACTTTTATTGGGTTAGGTCATTAAATATTTTTCATTATTTGGTCAATTTTATGTCGCTACATTATATATATATTATACAGAACGATAATATATATAATTATGACAGCGACAACAATAAGCGTATTAAGATTTTACATAAAATTGACTAGAGTAATTAGGCTGAAATTTTTATAGAATATGTTTTTATATTAAATATATATTATATGTTATTTAATATATAAAATTCTCGTGTTAGTGTTAGTGGACATACTCCTCTGAAAGAGCTTCAGTTTTGATAAAATTCTACATGTATATTCGGTAAGTCTGTATCTTTATTATATATACCCTTAAGTGATAAGGAAGGGCCAGCCGTATTTGTTTTTATTTATTGGACAAACTTTAGTTTTTTTTTATGATTAAAAAAAATAGACTCCTAAATAATGTTCACCCTAGAAGGGTGCCACCAACCCTTATTTGGGAAGCGATATTAATTTATATGCAAAACAAAGTATGCCGGGTCAGATAGTTTGAATGTAAAGATTGGTAGAATGACAAAACCACTAGACCACTGGGGCTATTATTAAAACCCTAAATTTTCACCCTTGTATCTACAACCCCTATTTTTTATACATAACATAACAGCAATATTAATTTATATAGCAAAACAATGTTTGCCGGATCAGTTAGTTTATTTTATAGCTAAAAAACACATAGACTCCTAAATGTTCAGCTATCTGCCACCAACCACTATTTTTTAATAATGATATTAATTTTATATAGCAAATCAACGAGTTCCACACATGGTTTAAATATAAAGATTGTTAGTTACGTGTTCGGTGAGCGAATCGAGACTCGAAGTGGCCTCGTCGAATACGATGATCGGCGAGTCTTTAAGGATAGCCCGAGCGATCGCCACACGTTGCTTCTCGCCGCCTGAAAGCTTCAGACCTCTCTCTCCCACTTGAGTTTCGTAACCCTGTAATATATGTAAGATATAAATATATAATATACTGTTATTATTAAATAGCAATATAATATAAATAGAAAATCATTTATTCAAATAAACTTAATTTAAGCACTTTTGTCTTAACAATTTGTTTTTATATAACTCGTTCGGAAAGCTGTTTATCATATAACAAACAAAAATTATTTCAAACTTTTAAATAATATTGTAAGTTTACATTTACAAGAAACGTGTGAATACAAACTACCAACAAGCACTAATTTTTTCAAATATAAATATGCAATAAGATTAAATCATCGTAGTGATAAGAGCAGACCAGTTTTGCCTACGGACTCGTTCACGAGTATGAAAATGAGCCAGCCATCACTGCGCTCGACCATATTAGAATTGACCCGGCCCACCTTCTAGCCAGATGTATGTCAAATTGACATGACTATCTTTTCCACACGACCATTTAACATTAAAGATTATATTAATCGAATAAATTCGATTTTAAATATGCATGCGTATGCTAATTATATCTAATATGATCAAATAAGGGGATTGTTAGTATAGTGATCTGTTTGTAATATTGAAATACAATGTTTTTCATTACAAGCATATAAATATCGTTATAAATTCCTGGTGAATTTGTCACGATGTAACTAGTACAAAATAAATTATAATTATTAAATAATGTTACAGTCGAGTATCTAATATGACCTATATTTTATGTGTAAAATCAGGTGACATTTTAGGGTGGAGGATTGATGAAATAACTATTTATAGTGGTGGCGTGCAGAAACTGTTTTTTAGTATGAAGTGACCTCCATCGATTATATTTTCATAGGGTTTATTATTTATTGAACGATATTTATAAGGAATAGTCGTAAGGTTTTTATAAATTAATATCCATTCCTTAATGGATATATATATATTGATGGATTTTCCTGATAAAAAAAAAAAAAAAAAAGACGGGTGCACCATTCCATTACCATCCATAATAAAAATATCTAAAGTACGATTATTAATTCCAGTGTAAAATGACAAGTGCAACTGTCACTGATACAAAAAGTGACCCGCACAATAGTGATGTCCGGCGATCAATAGACTTAGACATTTAATGCTTTATTTTATTAGGGAAGCTTTTTTTTAATTTTAAATATTTAATACATATCGTATTAAACAATACTATTTTAGAAATATGTACCTTACCAGAATATTAAAATTTCTCACTATAACATTATTACAAAAGCTGGGAAAAAATGTATACAGAGATTCAGAGGAATTAACACTAGAATTTTTATTTATATAAAGGCAATTTGATTTTGAATAAAAAAAATGTAATCTCGACTAACTTTTAATTGTTAAAACTCGATTCTACCACAGCACTATTTATTTGGGACTAGAAATCTGCAACATTGGAAATGTCATTTTACTGAATAAATTAATAATCTTACTTTAGTAATAATGAATGTAAATAGAGAGATATATAGAGACGTTTATTATAGCAGAGCGCAGTCACAGAAGTGATATAAAACAAAATGTATATAAAGAACATCATATTTTGAATATGGATAAAACAATATATAAAAACTGCCACGATTCTCATTCTAGATTTGACATATCATAAGATTCTGTAATAGACCTACTTGAATAGATATTTTGAATTTGAATAAATTACCTTGGGCCAAGTGGTAACAGATTCGTGTAGTTCTGCCATCTTGCTAGCTTTGTACACGTCCTCGGGTAGCCGGTTCAGATCCCCGTAGTGAAGGTTGTGGAATATCGTATCGTGGAACAGAACACAGTCCTGGTAGAGAAACAATGAATAATAATAAAAAAGAAATAATCAAAAATATGCTAATAAAAAGCAACTTCTTACAGCACAATCTACTTACTTTTAATAATTTAAATATATAATATGGTTTAAAAAAAAAGTAATTCAATTGAGTTTCTTGCCAGTTCTTCTCAATTGGATCTATATACCGAACTGGACAGTAGGGAAAAAATTTAAATTAAGCGGCTAAAATGTCCTACATGAATAAATGATTTTTGAATTTTTTGAATTAAAAACATGCGGAAACTTGCACTGAGCTGAAATATTTATGTAAACAAATTGAGACATTTGTTAAGAGGGAAATTATACATATATCTATCCGATTTATAAAATTCTCGTGTCAATAGTGTCAATTGCCATCCTTCACCGTAACGGCTTAACCGAACCTGATGAAATTTTTATATGTATACTCGTCAGACCTGAAAAGGGTGACCCAACCCGATTTTTTTTTTTGGACAAAACCTTGTTTTTTAACGATTAAAAGATATATAATAATAATAATAATAATAATCTCAGGACAATTCACACAGCGCCATCTAGACCCATTTTTTAAGCTTGTGTTATTAGATAAGATATATAGATATTTTTTTTTTTGTAAATACATACATATTATACATGAAAACACCCAGACCGATACAAACAATCATTCATTATTAATCAACCATCGGTCGTAAAGCGGTGTGCTATACCACTAGACCACCGAGGTCGTCAAATATTAGTATATAAGTATATAATAAGTAGTAACTTAAAATATAATATTTTATTAATCAAACAATGTAAGTTAAAATAATTTGGATTTTTAATGTCCGCTGGACATAATTTTTTTATGGCAAAACACATCATACCTACTACGCTTTAATTATTATCTTTTGTACTGTGTTTTTGAACAAATATATAATAATTATTATTATTCTTGGTATATTTTGTTTTCTCACCTTTTTTTTGCAGGGTTTTTATTATTATTATTATTATTAATCTCAAATGATTTTAATTACGACTATTTAACATTATATAAACAGTATACATGTATACTCTGATAATAATAAAAATGTTTATTACCTGTGGGACAATGGCAATTGCCTTCCTCAAGCTGGCCAAGTCTAGATCCTTTATGTTCTGTCCATTGATGAATATCTGACCCGACTGTGGCTCGAAGAATCTGAACAGTAGCCGCACCAGTGTTGATTTCCTGCAAACATGGTTTTAAATTAACATAACTTTTATAGATAGAATATTATATAGGTACACAAACCTTCCTCTTAAATCACTCCATCTATTAAAAAAACCGCTTCAAAATCCGTTGCGTAGTTTTAAAGATTTAAGCATATATAGGGACAGACAGACAGCAATAGCCTCTTTGTTTGATACTATGTAATGATTTAGAATATGTCAAATTATAAAAAGTAGTAAGTTATATTTATACACTAGCTGTACATGCAACTTCATTCCGCGTGGAATTTAACTTTATCCTTATTACATCTGCCTGCCAAGAAAGTCCCGCCATTTCAGAGATTAGCCGGAACAATCAGACAGACAAAAATTGTAAAAAATGTTATTTTGGTGTAATTACCGTATTTATATTCATATGCATGTAAATAGAGAGATGCTAGTAAAAAGCGGTTATTTCAATATTACAAACAGACACTTTAATTTTATTTATATGTATAGATGTATATATAAAGAGTATAGTATCGGCAACATGCATTATTTAAAGATATGCTAACTCACCCGCTTCCTGATCCACCCACGATGCCAATCTTCTTTCCCGCGGGGATGTTCAGAGTCAGGTTGTTGAAGATCGGCTTCCCGTTGATGTATTTGAAGCTGACGTCCCTGAACTCGATGCTAGCCGTCTTCGTGTCCACCAGTAGGGGCGGCGCTTTATCTACCTCCTGCAACCAATTCAAATATCATTTATTCATCTCGGATATATTAGCCTCTTATGAATGTAAAATTTTTATATCATAACTAGTTGGCAAACGTTGTTTTACCATATAAATTAATAACGCTATAAAAAAATAGGGGTTGATGATTTAGGATAGGGGGGACATAATTTAGGATTGTATGTATTTTTGTATGTTGTATCATAAAAAAATAGAAACTAAAAATTTTGTTTAAAAAATAAAAATTTAGGGGTGGACTACCGCTAACATTTAGGGGGATGAAAAATAGATGTTAGCCGATTCTCAGACCTACTCAATACGCTCACAAAATTTCATGAGAATCGGTCAAGCCGTTTCAGAGGAGATAAGATTTTTTCTATACCGTCCAGTTCAGTATACAGATCCAGTTGAGAAGAACTGACAAGAAACTCAACGGAATTACTTTAACATTGTTGTTTTAACAATGTCCCCATATATTTTTTATTGTTAATTACGTTTAATATTTTTTAAATATGTTTTAAGTGTACAATAATTGGAGGTAGATATTATTTAACCCCTAGATTTATTTCAATAAAGTGCCCACGGGTGATCATCCGCTCCCAACGTGTAAAATTATTTTCGTTGCGGAGTGACCCACCGGTAGGCATGCGGTCTTTAACGTGTTAAAAATGTTTTGATTCCAAATAAATAACAGAAGCAACGAAAATTCTTGTTACAACACACAATCGAGACATTTCACTTTTTAAATTTATTTCTTTATTCCACAGATTAAATTTTTCAATGATACATTTAAGATTTATAAGTTATCAATTACTGTATAATTATGTTTTTGCTCTATAGTCAGATGTCCACCTTATTGCATTAATAAATATTACAAATAGATGGAATTATGAAAAAAAAAACATTACCTATTTACAGAAGCATAACCAATATATAATTTTGTATATCTTCACATAAGGCGGATTGTGTGGAACTATATGTATCCATTTTATAACCACTGTGTACACCACATTCCTCACAATATAAACAATTTCATTTCATTTGTCAGTGAACTACAGCAATGGAGCAAATGGTACTCTAAGGAACCAGATTTACAGTGTGTGTGTATTTTGTGAAGGAGGACCTTCACAAGCACCAAACTATTCAGCTGTTTCAATTTGCCTCCCTTAAGATGGATATTGTTGCAGTTTATCCCGGGACCGATGGCATTAATCGCGTTGCGGATGTGAAGACTCCTAATGGCGTAGTCAGAAGATCATTCAGCAAGATTTGCCCTCTGATCGACACTTCTTGTTGAAAGGCAAGTTTTCAACGTCCGGGGGCATGATCCATTTTATATGCTGTCAACACTATTCTCCAACCTATATGCTTTATTTTTTTTTGTCTATGCTTTTTTCTCTATAAAAACTGTATTGTCATGGCCGTCTAAAAATATACACGCATACATTAAGAAGAATCTTTATTTTCATTACCAAAACTTACCTGACGAGAGAGCTAAATCTGGAACATCATTTCAGATCCTACATATTAAAAGATACAAAAAGGCACGGATACTAAAGCTCGCACGATTGAAGAACCCGTATTATGTGTAACCCGTAATAATGCGCTCATTGGTAGCGCGTTCTTTCTAGTTCAAATTGCCTACATTTACATGCACATTCTTTCCTGGGTGAAGGCAGCTATGGAGGTGTTTGTGTACCTTGATTCTGGACTGCACGGTCATGAGCGTGAACATGGTCTGCATGTCGATGAGCGCCTGCCGCACCTCACGGTACACTGACCCGAGGAAGCCCAACGGAATCGACAGCTGGAACAGTAGCCCGTTCACCATCACCAGGTCGCCCACCGACATGTTGCCTGATGAAGTATTACAATAATGTCAGTATTCACAACGTCATTGGACAAAAATCCGACCGTTTAAAATGTTGACTGCCACTGCAATTTTCAGTCACAGCGCCATCTAGTCACACGGCAGGCAGACTTTGTGTTATGGGTACTAGAGAACTGATATAAATACTTAGATATTTTCTGTTTCTAAATATGTACATATGTAACATCCAGACCGATACAAACAATCATACTCATGAATACAAATGTGTGCACCGTGCAAGGAATGGAACCCGAGACGATCGGAATTCAAGGGGTCTGCTAAACCGCTAGACTACCAAGGCTGTCATAACAGTTGCATATAACGCCCATGCATATACATACGTAGGGTTGCGGGTAGTAACTGGATGAGGGCTGAAGATCGTGCCCAGTGGCGTGCCTTGGGAGAGGCTTATGTCCAGCAGTGGACTGCAGTGAGCTGATGATGATGATGATGATGATGATGATGAAATGTCATACCTTTAGCGATTTCATTGGCAGCCATTATCATGATGATGCTGAGACCGCCGCTGAATATAGCGTGCTGGCCGAAGTTCAGCAGCGCTAAACTGGACGCCGTCTTCAGAGAAGCCTCTTCGTACTTCTTCAAACTCGTGTCATATTTTTCCAATTCATATTTCTCGTTGTTGAAATACTAAAACACAAATATACCTACAATATAAATATTGTATTAGACTGTGTCAATTTTGAGGTCACGCCGATTTACTTCCGGCGGTCGCGGATTCGATTCCTCGCATGGTACAAACATTTGTATTTATGACTCTATGGTATTGTTCAAGTATTACGTAAGCACGTAATACTCGAACGTGGAACGTATGTGTTCTGGTGGTGGTGGTGGTGGTGGTGGTGGTGGTGGTGGTGGTGTGGTGTTATGTCTTTGGTGGTGGTGGTGGTGGTGGTGGTGGGGGGGGGGGTCTTTTGGATGACATGGGAGGTAGGGGAGTCTAGATGATGATTACGCTCCATCGCTCCGTGTTTACGTAAGCAATGGGTGGGTGATAGAGTGTAAACTTTCCAAAGGAGATATTTCGTTTATGCATGAGTGGGCTACATCCACATAGGATGTTTAGTGGCGTTTTCTCTTCAGTTTGGCAAAATCTGCAGATTGATATTATAATTGGATTTAATCTTTACTATTCATATGTTTTAATTCATTCATGTCTCGTTATCTTAGTCAGATACTAGACGGCGTTGTAGTCACTGAAATCTGCTTTAGTAGGGCACGCTGGCCAACAGTTGTTGATGGTAATGTTATGTGATGTGATGGTAATATGATGATGTTGATCTTGACACAAGTGGGAAATCTCGACTTCCAGTCCAACTCTATAAAAAAAGTACATAACCTTTTTCATAACATAACGTTCGGCTATTATCTGGTATCATACCTTGACGGTCTCGTAGTTGATGAGCGAGTCGATAGCTTTATTCCCCGCTTCGTTCTCGGCGCGGTTCATAAACACTCGGAACTTTGTTCTCCATTGCGTGATGGCTAGTGTGAAGGCTGCGTACACACCCACACACCCAAACGCCAGCCCTGGCACACACAAACAAGTTTTTCCCTATACAGTTCAAACGGGAATCAAAATTACGAGCCTGAGCCGAGGTTCGAACCCCTAGCGATGCCATCAGACTAAAGTCGTACCCGTCAGATGGGAGTTGGCCTTCAGGCACTCCATAAGTTCCTACACTCGATTGGAGTGCCATCTGCACTAGCCCACTATCGTCCGGTGATGCTGTAAACGCCAGCTGCGGCCAACAGCATTAGAGTAGTCCGAAAAAAAATATTATGTTAACGATCTCAGTAGTATAGTGGTTTTACTACAGTGCCTCACATTCTGCTGGCCGTGGTGATTCCACCCTCGCATAAAATAACACAACTATAATAAAATAGAATCACTGTTTTGTGACTATCAATCTGTATGCATGTTTAGAAATTATATAGAATATATGTATAAAACTAAATTAATAAAATAAAGTTATTTAAAAGTTACCCGTCGTTGTGAATAAGACATTTTTAGTTTTACCTGCAAACGCGAGGCCGCCTTTCAGCCCTAGGATCGTGGATACCAGACTGAGTTCGAATATAGTGGGTACTATGTTGAACACCATGGCAGATAGCACGAAATTGATGGCACGTGAACCACGATCAATTGTCTGGAAACAATACCATATAATATCATAAGGCAATTCACTTACCGCCATCTAGTCTCAAGCTAAGCGGAGCTCGTATTATGGGTATTAGACTACTGATATAAACACATAGATACATTTTTTGTACACATGTAGATATATTTGCTAGGGTTCACGTCATCATATGACTGATTTCCTCTTATTAATTGTTTAACCAGTTGGTTATATATTCAATATTATTTCTATTTGAGTATTTAATAGAATTAGTGCTAATTGGTGGTTTGTATTCACACACTTAAACTTAAAAATGTAAAGTAATAATAAATTATTTAAAAGAGCAACTTCATAATTAGTGGATCTTACATATTATCTATATAAAATAACCCCATTACCTACTAGCAATGTACCATGTCAGATTGACCTCCACACTGTTCCCCCAGGACCATCGTGATACATTCATGGTGAATTTGTCACGATGGGCTAACTGACCTAACCTCATTATCATCCTCCACTGGCCAATCCATTATCATCATCACCATATCATCATTTTTACAAAAATTGCGCTGACGGTGAAGTATATATGAAATTTCGCACACTTCTCGTTTATATAGAGGAAGAATGTAGAATGGTTTTTTTTAATTATGTATACATAATACATTAAATCAATAAAAAAAACATTACACACACTACCGTGTATTTGACACCTATATACTCTTTTCTTTATTGAACTCTGTGGTCAAATGCATAGATTAATATTGTTTATGTTTAATATTATTTGTCTATAGTGTTACTGAATGTTACAATATGGTCGAATTTCGACCACTAGTAAAAATGACCTTAGATAAGGCACCGGTTTGCCTTCCCAAATGGAAACTGAGGTCCAAGTTGTGTAGATGCGTGAATACGTTGCAGGCGAGTCGCCGTATTGAATGTTGGGCCACTTTCGCGAACACTGCGTTACGTAGCTCGTTGAAACCCGCTGCTGTTCCTCGTGCTATACCATCTGAAAAGTTTACACATACATATATAATTACATTTTAATTGTGAATTATAATTTTATTAATTTAATTATTTGTGTATTGTGGAATGTGGAATGACATATTATTCGATCAGAATACTAGCAATACATCTATACATATAAATAAAATTGGAGTATCTGTTTGTAATATTGAAATAACTTTTTTTACTACGAATATTATGCATATGAATATAAATACGGTACATACACCAAAAAACATTTTTTTAAATTTTTGTCTATCTGTCTGTTTGCTCCGGCTAATCTCTGAAATAGCTGCACCGATTTTGACGGGACTTTTTTTGGCAGGTAGCGAATATAATAAGGAGTAATTTAGGCTACTTTTATTTTAGAAAAATAAAGTTATAGTCCACGCGGACAAAGTCGCGGGTACAGCTAGTTAATAAATATAAACTGATACAGTTACTGCAAAAAAAAATATTAATTTGTAAAGTTAAAAGCAATAGAGGTGTTTGTATTTGCCGGTTCTTTTATATATTATACATTATTATGTATGAAATCAAAGACTGTTGTCTGTTGACTTATGTGAATATATTTCAATTGTTTTTTATAATGTTTTTAAATATTTATGTACAAAACAGGTTTTAAACAAGAGGTTTTTATTATTATTATATTAAACTTACATCCGAGCAGTAAACTGAATGCGGTAGTTCCCAACGCCTGCGGTACAGTCGCCATACCCAGCAGCACGTCTCCGGTGGGCGTGGTCGCGATCTGATTCACCTCATCGACTGCGTACTTGAACAGGAACGGGACGGATACGTTCATCACTTTCGCGCCGAACAGGAGCGACAAGGAGAGCATGACCCGGTTTCTTATCATGGAATTGTCCTGTAATATATAAGTATATTTGTTATATATATTATGTTATCCTAACCTCGGTGGTCTTGCGGTTTAGCGGACCGACTTACTTGAGACGCGGGTTCGATTCCTCGCACGACACAAACATTTGTATTCACGAGTATGACTGTTTGTTCTATGTATAATATGTAGTTGTCAAAAAAATACATACATACATGTTGTATGTATGTATTTTTTTGTTATGAATGTTAATAGTACGCCTGCGCTAATGGTTTACGCTGGCATACCAGTGGAGAATGACTGGTTAAACATGAGGTCAGGTCAGTTAGCTCATAGTGACAAATTCACCAGGTATTTGTCACGATGGTTTCCAGGGGGATCCGCGTGGAGGTCAACTTGGCGTAATGTATGTATAGTAATGGGGTAATGAGTCCACATTACTAACAATTCGCTTCCCTCTATCTCTATATTTATATCAGTTTTCTAGTACTCATAACACAAGTTCTGCTTAGTCTGGGACTAGATGGCGCTGTGTGAATTATCCTAGGATATCAATATATTTTACGACCTCGGTGGTCTAGCGGTCAAGCACACCGCTTTACGACCGATGGTCGCGGGTTCGATTCCTCGCACGGCACAAACATTTGTATCCATGAGTATGTTGTTTGTATCGGTCTGGGTGTTTTCTATGTATAATATGTATGTATTTACAAAAAAAATATCTATGTATATGTATCAGTTATCTAGTACCCATAACACAAGCTCTAGCTAGCTTAACTTGGGTCTAGATGGCGCTGTGTGAATTGTCCTGAGATTATTATTATATATTATTATTTATTTATTTGTACACTTTTACACTAATATAAATATGCTTAAACAACAATCCTTACAGTAAGTCCTCATGTCATCTAAATTAGATAACTTTGATTACAAAAACTGTAATTTAGTGTATGTTATACTAGCTGTACCCACGACTTCGTTCGTGTGGAATTTGACTTTATTTTTCTAAAATCTCTAAAGTAGCCTACGTTACTCCTTATTACATCAGCTACCTGCCAAAAAAAGTCCGGTCAAAATTTTCATTTTCAGAGATTATCCGGAACAAACAGACAAGAATTGTAAAAAATGTTATTTTGGTGTATATACCACATTTATATTCATATACATGTAATAAAAAACGGTTAATTCAATATTACAAACAGATCCAATTTTTTTTGGTGTATGTACCGTACCGTATTTATATTATATAATATATGCATGTAGTAAGTAAAAAACGGTTATTTCAATAATACAAACAGACACTTTAATTTTATTTATATGTATAGATGTATAGATTAGGTACCTAATTAAAAGATATAATATAATACTCACCCTGGGCCACACATACTCCAGCATGCCCCTGACCATGTCTGCACCCGTGACCGGCTTCGCATCATCCAAGCTTATATCTTCACGGGACAAAACAGACGCACCTGGGTGAAAGCAGTCTCTTTTTTGGATACCTAAGGATGGGAGATACAACATCAGGACTTTGTGGAAGGATGACAGTTATGGAAAAGGTAGAAGCGGACAAACAAGGAGTGCGTGCGGGGATACTGCATTTCAACCAAGTATTAGTAACAAAAATGGCAACACTAATGAACAGAAACAAATGTAAACTAATGTATATGCAACAGAAACGTAGCGTGCCTTGACCCCGTAAAAAAAACTGCGGTCCCTTACGAAGGGAAAAAAATTTAATTCAAAAGAAAAAAAAATACATAATATTAAAAGATTTAGAAGAAAACAAATAGAAACTAATGTATATGCAACAGAAACGTAGCGTGCCTTGACCCCGTAAAAAAAATTGCGGTCCCTTACGAAGGGTAAAGATTTATCACAAAAGAAAAAAATACATAAAATTAAAAGAATTAGAAGAAATATTTATTCGTCATAATTGTCTGTCACTTTTTCAAAATTTTTACAAACAATTCAGATTAAATATACACTCTCGTTGCCTTTTTTACGGCAAACTGATTTATTAAATCCTTTCTAGCTGCTGAGGGACAAAAAGAAACTTTTATTTTAAATTTTCCATATGTAAAATAAAAAAAAAATTGAGAAGTTAATTTGGTTAATTTTTGCTTACGCACGTTGTGGGGCCACGTATAATTGATACGGCAGTAGCTACGCCCCTGATATGCAACTAAATAATTAATATACTCATACATATGGTCAATCACATGTGCACAAATATTTAAACAGTATTTTTATGTAATCCAAATAACAAACATGCTTAAGGCATGATGGTAAATTGGTAAGTCAGAACCATTCCGTGAACGGCAAAACGGATATGACGCCATAATGTCGGTTCTGTAATTTCGTACCAAGATTGCAAATGTAACTTCTACTAGCAGGAGTGGAATTATTGCAGTGAATTCAGATTATTTCTTAATAATTAATAATCTATATTACTTACCTACTGATAATGTTTTATAGAGATGAAGAATATATAAATAGAATAGAATAGAAAATTCTTCATTAAACTTACATTTAAACACTTTTGAATAGTCATCACATATTTTTTATCTATCACTCATTCAGAAAGCGGTCTCATTACAAAAAGAACAAGCCAGAAACTTGCGTGATGCTCTTTTAAATAATTGTTGTAATTTTACATTATTCAGTTGAAATGTGTGAATACAAAATACCATATTGTGTGAATACAAATAATTAAGTTTCCTAAACTTTTTTGTGTTAATCTTAAGATTTTTAATCAGTCTTCCTTATGTTTTGGGAAGGAACTGACTCCTGACATATAGTTTATGCTTGTTTGGATTGCATCCAACTATCCATTGAAGAAGGTATAAATTTATTATTATTTAAAATTATATATGTATTTTATTACTTCATCAGTAACATACAAACTCAACTCATAAAAATTTCCTCTAAATTATATTAATAAAAAAAAAGTGTATAAATCTTTGTGCATTGGTGAATAACCATAAACAAGGTGTACATTAATAATGCTAAAGTTTAACTAAGCTTATTGCACTATTAAAGTTATTTCACACTAAATGTCATATGTGTGTTATAAATTAGCATACATGGCACAACAGAAGAAATTAAAGGTAAAAATGGTAAAATCTGAACAAAAAAAAAAGTATAAATGTAAATTGTCTATTCTCTACATATATAGCTATAGCCACTCATCTGGGCCATTTATGTGTTGAGCACACACACATACACACACAATAGAGTTACAATGATTGTGGTATTGCTAAAACCATGCCATGACTGAATGTACTTATGACTAACTAAACATGTATTGCTAACATGACATTTTAAACTCTAATGTCAACAACATAGTGATTATTATGAATGGAACAGAAAATTAATTTGTGTTATAATGTGTGTTGCTAGTGCCAAGTATAACATTAAATTAAAGAATTAAATAGAAGAAAGTATATTTTGTACTATGTACGTACGACATTGCACATTATATTTTGCCCAATTTATATAACATTTTAAATTATAGCTTGTGTTATTCTGGTGTATAAGCTATATTACTGTACAGTTTCAATAAAAAAAATTCATAGTTGTTGCATGTTAGAGTAACAAACATACATCCATACTCACAAACTGTTGCATTTATAACATTAGTAAGAAATAAGATGTTTCACTGACTATAGCTATGTATTTGTGCGTAGTATGCTATTTGTAAACTTCAAACTTTACATAATATGTTAAAAAGTTTAATACAAATAGTTATTTTAATAAAAATTAAAATGAGTGACCATTTATAGGAAAAGAAATTTATAATAAACTAGCTGTTCCCTGCAACTTCATCCGCAAGGACTTCAACTTTTAGTTTCTAAAATTATTTATTTATTCCTTATTACATCAGCTACCTGCCAATAAAAGTCCCATCAAAATCGGTCCAGCCATTTCAGAGATTAGCCAGAACAAACAGACAGACGAAAATTGTTATTTTCGTGTATGTACTGCATTTATATTCCTATGCATTTAGCTAAAACGGTTATTTCAATATTACAAACAGACACTCCAATTATATTTATAATGTATATTGGAGTATATGTATCTCTATAAGGATTGGGAGATGTTACAATACCACAATTTGTTTTAAGATAATACAGATTTTTTTTATTTTTATATACATGTCTGAATGCCAGTGTCAAATCAGAATTTAGTCAAAATGAATTAAGAAGAAAACTTATTAACAAATCAAACCATCAAAGAAATGAAAATTGTAATATTAAGAAGATACATTTTGCAAAATAATCTTACAATTTAATAAACAAGGTACACAACAAACTTATGCTGTATAAATATAATTATTATTGTAATTCAAATTATGATGAAAGTTAATAAAACTTTGAAATAACTAATACAATAAATGCAAAAGTTTCTGTCAGTCATGTTTGGTACTTTCACAGCTGAATAGATCTTAATGAAACTAAACTTGAAGATAGAGTGTATCTTAAGACTGAGCATAGACTATTTATATATTCAATCTCAAAAAACAAATGAAACAAGAAAAAAAGTTAAAAAAAAATACAGATATGAAAGAAAAGTAGTATAATCATAATACTAAAATTGAGGCATATATTATTAATATATTTTATATTGTGCAGCGTCATACAGTCGGCAGATTGCGAAGTTTATTTTATCTGCTACAGATAGTAGAAAACTACCAATTATTAGATACAAGGTCAAGAGCAATATTACATAACATGGTAGAATTACAAAATAATGGTAATTATTTTAAAAACATTGAATATTCAATTAAAACATTAATAAGTATTACCTATCAATATATTGATAGTGATAAATATTTCAACTTACCAACTGGTATTTTTCCAGTTTTTGGTTTGTTTGCAAGAACTGCCGCCAAAACATTTTTCGCTGGGTCTGCCTTCACTGCACTGTTTGGGGTTGGTGTAGAATAATACTAAAAGAATATTAACATCATAAATTGCTGTATTTTCACAATAACACAGCAGTAATAAAATATAAATGCAAAGAAATACTAATTTCTTACAACATACCCTGAAATGACTTGCGGCCGCACATTGTTTGCAATTTAAACTGAACTGGGGGTTATTTATAACTAGTGATTTAGTGATACAATACGATTTATTAAATTTATAATGTTTTTTTATTAAATTATTGAATGTTTTGTTTGACAACAGAGCGGCCGCCATAGTGGTTGACTGACAAGTGAAGGAATTCAATTTGACATTTCTTATTTGCAAATTATAAGGGGATTTTTACAATATAACATCTATCTACTTCTTATAAATGGTTAGGGATACCAGCTTGCTTACACTCAATCAACATTTAAATTCTGAAGTTTATTTACAAAATCATAAAAAGTAGGTTTACTACGTAGTGAATATTATCATTAAATGGTATCAATGAGTTATCCTGAAATTTCTGATTAGTTTAAATTATTTACTCACATTTAGTTAAGAAAGCCATAGATAGAACTAATATTTTATTTTATTTTCATAATATATCACAACATCAACAACATGAAACTTGTTTATTCAACGTTTATAAAAATGTAAATGAAATGATTCATAGCATAGATCATTGTAGGATAGATAATACGTACATTTAAATATAATAGTAGCAACTAGGATCACAAGTAATAAATTTATTTTTTCTATTTCCAATTGTGACCGTACTACCTTGTTATTTGAATTTATGACCGCAAGCACTGATAGAGCCGGTAAGCTAGATTTTCTACAAATGCTATTGCTCTTTGATAAAAATTATTTTTAATGGTAGCATACCACGTAAAACAAGTAAAGTCCCCAAATTTGTATTTCATAATTTCACGAAATGCATGTGTTCATACTCTATTTTAAGATTTTATTTGTTCATCTCGTTCTCCTTGTGTACCAATACCAAATTTAAATCTATATAGGTATATACATTTACACGATTGGTTTTTCATTGATGCACAAATATGGATTACATAAGAGGGAAGGAAAAGGAGATTGTTAGCATGCCAGCAATGTACTGTACTGTAGTACCATGATTATCCTCTCACCACTGTAGCGTTATAAATGATGTGATGAGATGTCGCTACAATATATTGTATATTGTAGTATCTAGATAGTGAGTATACAGGTGAAATAATTGTACTATTTATTGTACATTTAGTGGCTTAATAGAAACGTGTACAGTCGACGCGGAGTCGAGACATAGACTTTCTCGACTGGCTTTACATTTAACTTAAATCTATGTTTTGTGGAGAGGTACTAATGGAAGGGTGTCGAGTGTTGACAGAAATATTACAAGTGTAGGCACAGTATCATATCGACGCCCCTGGTGACTATAATGATAAATATGACCGGTGAATTTGCCACATTGGCCTAACTGACCTGCTCATTTTACGGTCCTTCACTGGTGATCCGCAATCGTGAACCGTTAGTGCAGGATATGGGCGTTGAATGAACTAATTTTTATTTTTATAAAAAAAAAACTATAAACTACCGTGCGAGGCTGGTGCTTGGGAATACTACTACAATATGTAAACACAAATCGCTAAGAATGAAGCTGTCACATAATTATGATCGAACTTCACTTGGTAAGTTCGTTTGATCTTTAATTTTACGGTCCTTCACTGGTGCCCCGCAATCGTGTATCGTTAGTGCAGGATATGGGCGTTGAATTAACTAACTGTTTTTTGTTACCGAACAATTAAACTAGTTTACAGTTCATACATAAACAAAGTTTTTCGTTGACTGGTTGACCAGTTCATTGCGTCGCGTCGCGATCGTCTCGTCGTTTAGTGAGCCGACCGAGACTATCGCTCTGACATGGTCAATCGGTAGACATTCGCTCGTTTACGTCACAGATAACAATATTACATAGTTTACGTTTACCAATTGTTTATGTGAAGAAATAGTCTTTTCGACGACGATGTAAACCAGTCGAAATTTAGACTTTTTTTTAATTAGTTCATCGTCGACGGTGAACGGTCTCGTTGCGATGGCGGCCCACGACTATTGTGTCCTATCATGCTTAAAAAGAATTGCTGAATGCTGTACCTGCCTAAGCTTAAAATTAGCCACTATGGTTTCATGAGAGATATTGTTACGGTCGAACATATATAGGATACATTGCTACATCGTACGACCTCGGTGGTGCAACGGTTTAATATACGCGCTCATTCTGATGTGCGGGTTCGATTCCTCGTACAATATAAAAATGAGTATAAGAGAAGCTCTGTCTGTCAGTTTCTCTTTTAATCGTTTATGAAACAAAAATATTAACTGACAAAAGTGAGTTACTTTCTTAGTTTCACACCTAAACTGTTGAATCGATTATAATGAATTTTCACACAAAAGCAGATAAGGGATGCGTTGAGGAAATTTGTAATTATTATTGCAACATCAGATTTTCTTCAAAGTAGTAGATATTTTTTTTCTAAATGTTTACGTAAAGGGAGTCATGGGTATTAGCCAGTATAAAAATAAAAAGACACATTCTAACATTTAATAAACTTTTCAAGTATAACAACATACTGACACATGAGAGCTATACAATTACTGGTGATCACACATTGATTCTCATAAGTCTCTAATTTACTAACAGATTCTTTAAGCTTAATTAACTTATCTCTAACCATTGGTGTTATAATGTCATTCAAGTCTCTATTACTGGAACATATAGCCGCTGAGTACAGCAATCTACCGACATCAACAGTTTTATTATAATAATACTTTACAACCATTAATAAGCCATAAAAATTGTAACTTAGGCCTTTCAAATCGATGTATAGATCTTTATTTAAACCATGACTGTTTATGAATATATTTTGATCATTCGATAACTTGATCCCTTGAGACCTTAAAAAGGTGTCCACACTTTCAAAAGTGAATGATACATAATCTAACTCATTGTTGGGAAGATAGAACCCATACTCTGTAATTAATTTCAGATTATGACTATCGCCATAGCATATGAATACTTGCGTGTATGGCTCAAAAATGTTTTTGGTAAAAATCGAAAACCATACGTCTGCAAATAAGACATGGTTCAAATTTGCTACTCTAATATTTTCTATGTTCCTACTCACAACTAATTTTGTCTCGTTCCTAGCAATAGGACTATGATTTATCATATCCAAATACGGACATAATGATATTTTTGTATTATCACATATAATATTTAAAATAGATGTCTGTACATTCTTCAAATCGATTACTTTGGTTAAATCCATAAAAACACATCGTGTATTCACCGTAAAATAGGCCCACTCATAAATAGACATCGTAAAACATTCTTTCAGTTCTTTTACAATTACATCATTACTTGTAGTATTATTTAAAATTTCTTCAAAAATATAATATGATGAATTAATAATATCTTTTTGTTTAGAGATCACAGCTAATATATCAGTGTCCACATGATTTAATATATCACCTCGCAAAAAATATGGTGTGGTATATTCGTTTGGTAAGCTCTCCAAGTATAGAAACCATTCACTTTTTGAACCCTGAACCTTTAAATATGTCAAATATAACGCCATTAACGATTGAAATGTCACAGAATTCTTATATTGTTGTAAACAATGTTTGGTGTTTTCTAAAAATATATTACAAAAATTCAAATCCATCAGAATAGTAGTAACGTTGATTGTTAAATTTAATGGTAGATTCATTAGTTCTTCTCCAGGTTTTATCTTCTTTTTCGTCAGTACTCCGCGTCCTGTGTCATCGAACACAGCCAGGGTTAGTTTATTATTCCGTCGCATCCCCTGTTTGGCCAGCCAAGAATTGAAGAAAACAATTTCCTTACAGTCGTCACATGTACGAAAATTTCGCATTTTATTTCGATTTCTCTTCCGCTGTGTACGGCCCATAATTGAGCTGTATTTTTACCGTATACATTCGAAGACTTCCATTTACATTTATTTGTCACTCATTATGATATTTGATAATTATTAATTACACAAAAATAAAAACATTAAAATAAAAACAAAATAAACAACGATGAACGATATAAAAATTTATCGTGGTGTTTTGACTTTTGATTTGACACATTCTGCGTTTTGTTTAGTGGGCCGACGTAATTAATATATGCTGATAGAATAGTAAAGACCTCAGTTTTACTACAGTAAATTTATTTCAAGCACTAGTTTCTTCTTGATCCTCTTACAAATATTTAATCTTAATGTTTTCTTTTATACGAAATTGAGCTAGGTTTTATAAATTATAAAGTCTCAAAACGCAAAATCGATATAATCTTCGTTCTAAAATTGCGATTATTTTATTCGCAATTATAGTCATATTGTTTTATTTTATCCAAAAGTAATCTCAAAATATGATTTTATAAGAATAATCAATTACATTTATTAAATAAGAATTATCTTTTTTTATTACTTTTCAATAAGTTATAAAAATTCGTTACAACAATACTACGTGTTTGTTTTAGAACGCCATACAGTTACTGTCACATCTCCCCACTTCTCCTTCAAAATTAAATTCGTAACCGTTTGTTTTTGTTTCTAATTTTTTACCTAACGTTTATTTTATTTTTTTATCATTTTTTTAACTGTAATAAAGTAAAATGTCACAGCAACAGACCAAAAACATTATAACCCTCCGAGGCTCCGCACAAATCATATGTGAATATCTTAGTAAGTAAAAAATGCAAAGTACTATCACACTATTGTTCATTAATTTTTGTACTAATAATTTGGTAATTTTTCAGAGTTTGCTATGAATTCAGTATTATTCCAAAGAGGTCTGTATCCGGCTGAAACTTTTAAAGCTGAACAGCATTATGGTATTACACTACTATTGTCTGAAGACTCGCAAATTAAAAATTTTCTAACAAATCTTTTAACACAAAGTGAAGGTATGTCTCATGTTTGTTACTCGATCAAATCTAAGTGGCTAAATAAAACCGAACTAATTTCTCCTTTATTTTGTTAAATAATACATATCCAAGTTTATATTCCGTTGCAACTGTATAAATTTGGATTAAAATCAATTTTATATTTCAATTAAAGCTAATGAGTTAATCACTTTATTAAATAACCATTATTTCAATATCCATTCATTGTGTTATATGAATTTAATGTATTAAACACCATTAAGTATTTATACCTGTACTGTACTATATATATCCTATACATAAATAAAACCCAAGGTATCAAATCAACACATATAACAACAACACAACATAAATTCCGTAGTAAAAATATGTTCACATGAGAAAATGTTCTAAGCAACATGAGGCCAGATAAAAAAGTTTATACAAGCCACCAAGTATTTCTATAATTGGATTTATTTTTTCTATTTTAGCCCTTCAATATAGATTAATAATAAAATGGTAGTAAACTGAAGCAATTTTTATATCACTCACTGTTGGTGTCTTGTTCAACCATGCAATATGAATGTTTGCAGAAAATAATTACGAATGATTTTTTTTTAAATTCTAATATCTATTATACTAGTGGCACAATAAAATTTGCCACACTGAAGGTTGCCCACCCCTATTCTGAGTGATATCATATAATTAAAATGCATCTTGCATAGAAAATATCTTTTTATTTATTTGACTTCAATGCATGTAATACAAAATATAGTAAAGTACATATGTAGTTTATTTTGCGGAACTATTATTATTATTATTCTAGAATTAAATATTAGCACAAACATTAAATCTATCCTTTTCATTTTTATCAAAACTATTACTCTCTTATTTCAGAATGGATAGTGAACAAGAAGGTCAGCAAACTGTCACTCATTATACTAGATGTTGCTAACAAAGAAGTGCTGGAATGCTGGGACTTCAAAGTCGAGTATGAAGAAGGTGACGCCACATTATCGAAGGAAAAGAACGAAACAGTAGGCACTAAGGATTTGAAGAAGATCCAACAAGAAATTAGAGATGTAATGCTGCAAGTCGCAGCAACAATATCATACCTTCCATTCTTAGATCGCAGATGTTCGTTTGATGTTCTGGTGCACGCTAAAACAGACTGTGATATACCTGAGAAATGGGCAGAAGCAGAACCCATAACTATTACGAATGCTCAGAACGTACAATTGAAGTCTTTCACAACTAGTTTACATAAAATGGAGACTGTTGTTACATATAAATTGTTCGATTAATCTCTAGCATTTTATAATTTTAGTGTTATATGTATGGTACATGTAAACACGGGTAATATTTATGATAATTAATACATTTTGAAATGATAGTAATGTATGTATACATGGTTTTAACACATTGACAGACAGTAGAAACAAGTGAAGTTCAAAAATTAATACTGTTTTTGTAATTTTTAGAATATTAGAAATATAGTTTCACATTTTCTGCTTAAATAGCCTTAATTTTGACACAATTCAAGAGAAAACAAAATTGCACTACTCCCTTCGCACCCACATGTGTTCTGAAGCTGCAAGTCATGTAATAGGTGGAAAACAAAATTCAACCTAAAAAATTGCTTCCAAAACATGACACTAGGCTTCTACTTGTACGCCGGTAAATGCACATTTGTGCCACTATAGTCATTGTGTCCAAAAACGACCATTTCGTTATAGACGGCTAGAGCCGTCATGCCACATAGTAAACTTCACTTTGTCGGCTATAAAAGGAAGTGTCCGTCAACGTGTTAATATTGTGTATTCTGTAAAAAAACAATTTGAATGTACCACAGAATCCTAGTACTAATATTGTCACACTTGTACATAATTACAGTAACATTTTAAACATGTAGCGATATATTCTGTAGGACAACCTCAGTGGTATAGCGGTTTGGCATGCCACTTTACTTCTGATGGTTGCGGGTTGGATTCCTTGCATAGTACAAACATTTGTATTCATAAGTATGATGATTTGTATTGGTCTGTATGTTTTTGTATGTTATGCATGTATTTTAATAAGTGTAATTTCAGTATTTATATCAGTTGGAATGAACTACTTGCCAAGGTTTTCTGTAGAAACTACAGCACGGGGTTTTGCGAGAAGGGTATTTTAAGGTTTCTTAACGGTCTGCAACGTGCACGTGTCGCCCCTGGTGTTTCAGATGTCTATAGGTACGGTAACCGTTTACCATCAGATGGGCCGTATGCTTGTTTGCCACTTACGTAATATAAAAAACCATTAACACAAGCTCTAATTACCTTTTGACCTGATAACACTGCGTGAATTGTCCTAGAATATAATTATATTGTCATTATATTATTCAAAGTGATATTGTATAAGACTCATTTTGATAACTGCAGAAAAGAAAACCTATTTTATGTATTCGAAATGGCAAACAAGCTGATTATCCACCTGATGATAGAATAGAATAGAAAATCATTTATTCAAATAAACTTACATTGAAGCACTTTTGAATAGTCATCACATTTTTCTAATCTACCGCTCATTCGGAAAGCTGTCTCATCACAAGAAGAACGATCAAGAAAATTGTGTGTTGCTCTTTTAAATAATTTTATTTTTACTTTACAATTTAAGTTCAAGTGTATAAATACAAATAAAGTGGTAACTATCACCTATATACATAAACAGTACCACTGATATTGTGATGCCGGTGGTATTGTGTTGTATCTCTGAGGGACCAAACCATGTCTTCATTCATATTAATTAGTTTAAAGATGTTATAGGAAGATAGATCAATTAAAAAATTAATTATTTATTTGTTAACTACTTGATATTACCAAGTTACAAACTTTAAATGCCTAAATTTCACATTTGGACCAAATAAACTATTACCACAGAGGATGAGATATACAGAGTGAAAACTTTTTAGCGAGTGCTCATTCTGTAGCACTGGATATTGATTATATGAATACTGTGAAGATATCTTTGTGACAATGTTTGTTCAATATATCGGGATCGATCTAAGGCTCAACAGGATAATATATATATATATATTGTGTGAGCTAGTTGCACTTGCCATGGTCGTGAGCTGACCATAATTCATATATATGAGAATTATACCCTGTATAACTATATATATATTAATGATGTATATACCAAACGTGAAAATTAAAAAACAAGTATATATTTTGTCCTCCTTGTTATTATATCAGTTCGACAATGTACCATTTTTATATGAACAGTATTTATTAATGTAACTAGTATAATAGTAGGTAGCTAAGAGATATAATTGTAAGTAGAAATTGAACTTTACATTTGATTAAAGTGTTGATTTATTTTAAGTATCATATGTGTTTATTTTGACTACGTGTGGGATTACTTAATGTTTAAGTGTTTGTATAAGTTTGTTTATTTCCGCTATCATTAGCTTTTTCTTTCGGACTGGTCTAATGGCCGCAGCTGGCCTTTACAGCTACACCGGACGATAGAGTGTAGGGATAGGGCGTGAGTGCCGATCACACTCCCAAACCCGCAGGATGATCGAAAGGCTGAAGGCCTAACTTTCTCCCTCGCCTGACGGATACGACTTTAGTCTGAGGAGGGGTTGGAACCTCGGCTCAGGCCGTCATCATTTCGATCCCCGTTAGAATAGGATGGAGGATCTAGGTCGAATTTCACAGTGTCACACTAATGGACACAATTGCGATTAATTTCTAATTTCCCACGCTGGGCTAACTGAGGTAACCTCATGCTGATTATATCATCCTTCACTTGTGCATCGCTAATGTATACCGTTAGCGCAGGCAGGTATAACCTTCCATTATCATCCATTTAAAAAGTAATATTAAGATTAGGATAATAAGGTACACATTTGTTTTCAATTCATTTATTATATAATATAACAAAGCCCTTACAAAATAGCATTTACAAGCTACAATAAATAATGTCTATTCAGCAAATAATACTGTACAAAACTGTTAATACAACTTAACATTTTAATCTGACGCCTATTCGAGAGCTTAAATAAAAAAATATGAGATTTTTTATAGTGTCAGTGGGTCGCATTTTGCCTAATTTACAGCCGTATTGTAAATAAGCGCACAATAATGGAAACTGCCTGTTTTTAATTAGGGACCATCCATGAATTATATATATCACACGTTAGGCGGGGGAGGTCGACAAAGTGTGACATAGTTACGTTAGGCGGGGGAAGTCGACAAAGTGTGACATGGACACACGTTAGGCGGGGGAAGTTGACAAAGTGTGACATTATAGTTACGTCAGGCAGGGAAGGTCGACAAAATGTGATATGCTCACACGTTAGGCGGGGGAAGTCGACAGTGTGACATTTACACGTGCGGGGGAAGTCGACAAAGTGTGACATTATGTAAAAGGGGTGGAAGGCGTATTATTAGGGAGGTCATATATGAAAATCTTAAATGTAGAACTATTAATGAAAACCTTAGAAATATATTCGTAATATTTTATAATTGCAAAATATGTGACATCACAGGAGAGGGGAGTGTCTAAGATGGATGGCCCCTATGAATACTTTTGTCTCCATATGTGAGTGACCTATGTGAATATCTCAAAATTGCAAAACCGTTGAAATAATTGCTCTTTTCTATCAATATCGTAGGGTTAATAATATATTTCATTAATTCAAAAATTACAAACTTTTTGGAAATCGACCCTAAAGTTAAAGTTAAAATTACAATTGTAATTTTTGACGTAATGTAATTTATCATTAAGGGTGCTATATATGTACAGGCCAATCAATCCATAACGAATTCATTAAAATAAATAATCCAATTGTATTATTTATTTCAGTATCATAATTATGTTAGGGAATCATGTATATATATATGTACACTATGATCCTATACATATGATAATTAGCTCGCATTAACTCCGCAAAACAACATGTAGGTGTGAATAATTACTACATACAGGATTACTCTTGGGCGCTTTTATAATTTACTGTAGTATTATTAATTGTAGTGCAATAAGAAAAGCTTGAATTGTAACTCAAACTCAGTAAAGGTAGCAACTAGTCAACAGGAAACTCGAAAGACAGAGTTCATAGTGTTAATGAGCAACAATTCCAGGATGGGCACTGACTGAAAGACTCACTCTGTACATATTTTATACTCTATGTAATTCAAATTTCGAAGACGACATTCCGTTCATTGATGGAATTGGCGGGAACGGTAATATTATAAGATATTTATTATTGTTACGATATATATAGTACCTAAACGATAAAAGCACCCAATCAGACTAGTGGTAAAAATCATGGTTATAGAAATATTTTGACTTATATCCACTCTCAATTCTCACTCCAATTTATATTCTCCGACAATAATTATAAGTTTATTAGCGTTTTAAAGCCGTTGGCATCATCCGTCCGCCATATTGTAAGTACTTTCACAATTTTTTAAATACTTAGATAAATAGATATACATCGAATTTAAGAATATAAATTTAGCTAATAAAAATAAGCACCATTCGTTTGAGGAACTTCATTTTATATTCGGTTGATTGAAATATTCTATTCGAATTTTTATAGGTACAGTCATGTGCAATAATATATATCACTACTGTACACAATCTTATATATATAATAATTTATATGAAAATAGTTAATGCAAATGTATATATTTATTATTATTAATACATAAACTAATAAAGGAAAGATTTTTTGTAAAATAATAAATTAAAAAATTCTTGATCTATTCTAATAATTTTTTTTATAAAAGTATGTTAATATGGACATTTTATTGAAAAAGATTGCAGCATTTATTTATAAATAACAATAGTACAAAAAATACTGCAAGGAATGATGTTATATTTCAAATAAATTATTAATTAATTTTTCTACCTATCTACGCGTGTAATGCCGCGGCGCGTCGCTAGTATACAAAGTATATATTATAAACTAGCCTGCATTATATTACATAGCACATGATTGTACCTTTATACCATAGGTGCAGTTTAAGGCTTTATAACTCCACATGACGCTGACGAACAGCTCGAATTTATTATTATCACAAATAATACACCGAGTGTCTTTATGACTCAACGCCATTTTTTATATCATAAAAGTACTTTGATTGAGTCTTGATTTTGACTCAAATAAAGAATTCAAATTAATCAAATCATTACTCTTTTTTAAATCTGCACCTAGGTATAATGTTTTAACGATATCGTTTATAAAAAGTCTAAATCGTATGAAATTGACACGAATTAGTTTTGTCAATTATATTCGTTAATCTCATATAGCGCCCTCTACAATCGCGCGAAATTTGCCGCGAATCCAACGTATTCCTGAAGAATACGCGCTTGATTCAATCGCTTTGATAGTCTATCGATTACAGACTAGACAGATTTGGATTTTTATATAAGTCGCAATACAGGTCATAGACAGAAGAG